ATGGTCTTCTATTTTTTGTTGTGATGTCTTACTTTTAAAATAATTAAAATTTCCCTCGACTAGTACTGGTTTTACTATTCAAACTATGACAAAATTGGTTTTAATTTTAATTATTAAAATATAGCTACATTATAATGCCATGCTTTATATAGAGAAAGGTATCAAAAATACAAGAAAGGGACTGAAGCTGTGTTGCAATTTGCAGGTGCTTCATCTTGCAGGCATTGAAGCCCAGCAGGTGGTCCTGCTTCTTGAGGACTATCAGTTGGTGCAGCCTACGTTTTTGGAGATGATCAACAGCCTTCTGTCTTCAGGCAAGTGAAAATAAAAGTAGTAATATAAAATTCTTCTTGTTAAGGTGTTAAAATTTGCTTGTGTTTCAAGGAATGTTTGGCAGAGTTATCAGTGAGGTAATACAGAATGAAGCACAACTGGGAATCTTTTTTTTAAAAAATAAAATTAGTAATGTAGGAATTGTTTAAATGTTATTGATAGTATTGAGTATCAGTAGGTGTATAGACAAACTAGTATTTCATATATTTTATCTGTTCTACCTTTTGGAATGTTTACCCACTCATGAAAAAATATCATACATTTTGACATAGCATTTAATTATCTATAGGAATTTAACCCATAGAAATAAAAGAACTAGTCTATACAGAAATTTTGTATAATTTATAATCACAGGGCTGGGGAGGTATCTCGGCAGCCTGTGTGCCTGCCTGGCAAGTGCAAGGACCTGGGTTCGATCCCTGGTACCGCATGCTGTGCTGGCCCTGGAACGCCGGGTGCACTGTGCTAGCCACTGAAACTGGGCATGGTGGTGCACGCCTGTAATCCCAGCACTGCGGAGGCTGAGACAGGAGGATCACTGTAGGTCTGAGCTGCATAGTGAGACCGTGTACAAAGTAAATAAATAGATTTATGAAAATTTATAATCACAAGAAGTTGGATAAAACCTGTCATTAGTGAAATTATTAAATGATTCTGATATCATCTTAGTATGTGTATATAAATACAGATATACTTCAGCTATATGAATACCATAGAATTCTTCATGTTGGTGCCCAGATTTCATGTATATCTGAAGTATATATGAACCTGGTATAGTGCACATATTATGTTTCTCTTTTCTTTTCTTTCTTCTT